GGACCACGAGTGCCCCTGTCGGTCAACCAATCACGTACCGCGGTACCCCGCGTCATCTTGCATCATGATGCACGACACCGCAGCCAATTACCTGCGGTACGTGTCTGTACCGCTCACTTTGAATGGCTGCATCTGAACTTATCCTATCATTTGCCGAGGAAGTAACATATTGGTTGAAATTTCTGACTGTCTATCTTTAGAAATAAAAGAGAACAAATTTAGAGTAAATGAGTAACTTTATCACCCAAAACTGATGTTGCTAGAAGTATTTACAGGTTAAACATCAGGCATGTCTTTAGTTGTCATGCATCTGCCTATGTTGCTTTTGCATAGATCTAAAATGCACAACCAGAATTTTCTATCTTATACAAAACTAATACTTATTCATCACTGGATATTAAAAGTGACAGCTACTTTCTAGTTAGGGAAATCAAGGACAGGTCATAATGTTTAATTATTCAAAAGCCAGGATGTTCAGCTCACCCCTCCAAACCTTTTTTAACCTTCTGGTGTGAGGCCTGCTGTAAACAGTTATTACCATTGTTTTTTTTACTTCAGAATTTCAAAGTTAGCAATGTATTTCTGGTTCAAGTTGATATATACCATAAAGAGAGATAACCCAAACTATCAAAATGAAAATAATGCAAATGTAGTGGTATCTGAAAATATAAACATCAAAATCAGTTTAACTAAAATCACCAACTATCAATTTAATTAAGAAAAAGAGTAAAAAGAAAAAAACTATAATATAAGCAAGTAAGAAAAGAAAATGAAGCACAATAAAAGCTGTTTTTAACAGAACTTTTCTTGTGAATAGATTAAATGGAATGTTAAAATTAAGAACTACATTAATTGTTTTACCACACAATCTATTTTAAAGAGTTGGCCAGCCAAACTAAGATACTGCAAAATCCATTTCCTACTAAAAACACAATAAACTGAGCAGACACAAGCCAAAACAATCTTCCCTCATCATAATAAAAATGATTGCTAGATTTAATAACAATATACAATTGGAACTTTTCATTTTAGTTCATTGACTGTCCTGTAATAAATTATCAACTTCAATCGATTCCATTTTTGTGTGCCCAGTACAAGTCTGTAATTCAAATTAGTTTTGTTTTGTGAAAACTAATAGCTTAAGTCTTTATAGCAAACTGTCTTCACTAGTTTTATTGACTCTTAACAGTTGCTCGTAATATTAGTTTCTCAAACAAAAGAGCTATCACATGACAGAAAATGTTTCAACAATACATCAGATATTAAATAGTTCCTTAGAATAAAAGGACCTAGTTTTATCAAAGATTTGTTTTAAAACAGGCAAAATAATCACAAAGTGTGGAAACAGGCATATCAAACATTTACACAAAAGAAATAAAATGAGACTGAATAAATATTTTGAGGTAAAATTCTAGTGAAGTACCTTGTGGTAAAACTCCATTCCCTGCTACAGATTCATCTTTTCTGAGTTAAACAGGTGAAATCCCTTGTAAAAAAAAAACCTGAGTGATTTTTTTTTACTGCCCCACATGTTGATCCCTGTAGGCTACATGAGGTGGTAAATCAATCCAATAGGATCAGTCTCAAGATGCTGGTTTTCTTGGTACAGTGTTTGTTGTGAAATCCCACCCACCATGTTTAATTCAATTAGTGACAAAAACAAAAGTATGGTTCTTTATCATGTTCTAAAAGACCATGCTTTCAGGTCACTGAAATACTACCCTCACAACCAGTAAACACTCCTTTGCCACAGCTGCTCTCTTTTCATTAAGATAATTTAAGTGATAGACTGCAGTCCCATTAGTGCTAGGAGGGTCACTTAACTGCTTTGAAACAGGCAATGATTTAATTAGACATTATTGCTGGACTTTTTACTGTAATTACTGTATCTCTCTGAGGCAGGTCTGTCACCAATTCACAGCTTAAACTTAACACACTTCCACTGTGCTCTTCCTGAACTGTAGCTACAGAAGTCAGCAAACAGGGTGGTTGATATCTTTAAAACCATTCAAAACTCCCCCGTGTAACTGGATTTTCTCCATAAATTAATGTACTGTAATACTGGAACAAAATAAATATTCTTCTTTTCTGCAATTTCTACTATGTTTGACATATAGAGCTCTCTCCAACTAGCTGCAAGTTGCATCAGTATAATTAGTATATAACATTCCTCATTAAAGCCAAATCTGTTGCAGTTCATTATTAGCTTCCTCACCGAAGAGGTTCTGCAATATGACAGCAGTTCTCTGGCATTTTTGTAAGCAATTACAGCTGTACTTTATTCAATAAAGCCATACCTTTTATTAAAAAATGTTACAGAAATATGTTTTTCAAATTGTTTAAATTTACTCACACTGTGCTCATGGTTGTTACAAAACTCAACTAGTTACATGCTTCAAAGATTTTATATTGACAGGTCATTTATTTAAAATAGTTAATAAACCTATTTAGTCATATTTAAGCAACTAACAACAAAATTCTATGTAACAGGAATTTAGGCTTTTAAATGTGCATTTAGCAAACAGTGTTCAAATAGTGAATATACAATAAGCACAGTGATGACATATCAAAATGCTTTTTGTCAAGAAATCTTTCTGGTACAGGGAAGCAAAGGTCGAAAAGGTTGGACATATGTGGGACCTTTGAGGAACTGAGTCAATTTCAACTACTGAGTTTAATGAGAAATGGCTTCAAACATCACCCTTGGATACTGAACACCAGTTTGCACAACCCTTCTCTAATAGGGTTGAAGTAACCAGAGGCCATCTGAAATTAATAAGAAGGTCATGTGAGGGTGACATATGACTTTAAACACATCATATCTCACATGAGATTCTTTTACACACTACACTTAGACATGATGTCATCTTTAAGTAAGAAAGACAGTCTAGTTTTTCTTGCATAAAATAAAAACAATTCAGTTAAAGTTTCTTTTCGTTATCTTATCAATGTAAGAGTGTTACATTTAAGAGTGTTTAATTATTATTGTCTGTTTATTAAAGCATTATGAGAATCTGTTTACAAGTAAGTAAAATTAAATAGGGGTTCCGAGGTACTCTTTCATTCAGAAAAATTAACATGTAACATGTCATTGTGAAAAAGTCATTTTAATTTTAAGTTCAATAATCATGAAAAGTGACACCACATGTACAGCTATGTTGTCTGATATGTTGAAACACATTGTTTCCAGTCTTATTCATTTAAATATTATTTGTGATTTAAATATGTATGGGGGAACCCTATGGGAAGATGCAATATGTTTTTCCAAAATTTAAAATTTAAAGATAATAGATATAAAGATGCATATTGTTAAATGTATGTTAGTATAACATTACTTTCACTTAACACAAACGTGTAGCGTTAGGGAATAACAAGGAAACACTTATTTGGCAACTATTTACAGTAAACGGGATGTCAGTTTAAAGCATGATGAGGACCACTGTAATCTCTTACTATGGCTTCAAAAAGAAATTCCCAGATTCTCAGTGAACCAAAATGCCTTGTCAATCAATTTAATAGGCTGTGATATGCCCATCCTATCTTTACCCACCAAGTACTAAAGGCATTCCATTTTAGACCAGCAACTACAACTGGCAGGATCAAGTTCTTGATGAACAGTTGTTAAAATGTTCTATTTTCAATTGACACACACCCACCTCAAACCCTTTCAGTATCTTATAAGCTGTCTTCTACCATTGTGTTTTTTAATGATAAAAGACTTAAACTGGGGATTTTGTTTTTCTTCTGTTTAGCACACCCGTTGAGTTTTACTACCTTGTGGGGAGAAGCAAATGGCCAAAGGGAGCAAAGCTGAGAGAGCAGCATGACAGAAACTAAAGAATAAAATACCTTGATTGTACAGGGCTGTACCGATAATGTATTCTTCTCACAGGATTATAATTTATAAAGCTGTTTGAGACTTTGATATTATATTTGAAGGAATGAATAAATAAGAAAAGATAAGAAAAATGTTTTTTTTTAATAAATTTAAAAATAAGTTCTGTACATTCACAGCTCACACATCAATGAAATGTTTAATAACCACTTCTACACTATACTGGTACAACAACAGTAATCTGCATAATCTTGAAAGGGGATAAGTAATTAAAAGGTGTCTATTTACATAATAAATGTTAGCTGTGGTGTTATGAAAGCATCCAGGCACGAGTAGAGCAATGAAGAGAAAGAAATTGGCTTTGAGACTCACCCTGACGTAGGCCACATAGTGCTGACACATCTCCTTGTTGAGGGACAGATTGACCATCTCCCCCACTGTGCTTGTCAGCTCTCTGTTCTGCCCAAGTAGTACTCTGGACGGCTGGCCCTTTTCTCGCTTTGTTGCATCTGCTGTCAGGTTATAGATCAGACCTGCAAGGGGACCATTGGTACAGGAAGAATCACTCAAGGAAAATATCAGTTTAATCAAAACTGCAAACTATTTTTTACCCCTTAAGTCTACAAAAAGGATCTTGTAATTTAATCTGACTAACCACTTTCCACAGTTATGGTCCCACAGCAGAGCTAGACTGAGCAATTGAAAAAAAGTAATGATTTTCTTTAGCATAAAAGTAATATGTTGTGTATTTTTAGCACTATTTTACATGGAAATCAACATCTCATGCATTATTTTTTTAATTTTAAGACTTTTTGATAATTTAAAAAAAACTAAAACCTAAAAAAACTGCCAAACATAAAAGAAGAAAAATCACTAATTTGCTCATGTCATTTTTCTTGCTGGGATAAGAATAATGTCAAAATCTGTAATACTCAATCACAAAATGACTGAATGTATAAAAAATCAGGGATACGCACAAAGCATGCATAGTTTTTCTTTAAAAAAAATCAAGAAAGGGACCCCAGGTCTGTAGGAATTACTCCAAAGCACTTGCCAAAAGAAAACAAACTCCACTGTCTTTGTTGAGATAATCTCATCAAGACAGCTCTTGAAAAGGGTACAATTATAGATTTCTATTCTCAAAGAAAAACATTTCTGGACACAACCATTCCAAACACCAATGCTAACTGTTCTGCCTTTGTTAGTTTAAATGTTTCCTCTGAACAACCAAAGAGTGCTTTTTCAGGATCTGAGAGAATACTTTTCCCAAACATTTTTGAGTACCATGGAGTACCATATTTATTTCCATAATTTCTGCAATGTGGGACACAGCCAGGAGAGGTGTGTGAATGTGACACTGGAGGAAATGTACCTGTCACATAAAGAAATATACTATACCTTGTTCAATTTGGTTTTAGACGAATGAAGCTGATGTATAACCTTGTATTCCATTCCTTGTTTTTCCATTTCAGGTTTTAATGAAGAGGAAAATGAAAGTAAGCTCCCCTGACCTAGAAGACTTGCCTTTCACATTGCAGTGGCTACACAGAAATGAGCACAGCCACTTTTTTATTTTGATGCTCTCTTCCTCTAGCAATTACAGTAAGTTGTAGATCGTGCTGCAAAGTCTAGGTTTTTGGCATGTATCCACAACCTGAGTAAGTACTCCAAGGTGCTTCCTGCAGCACAATTCCTCTGGACAATAGCCACTCCTGGAGTGCCAAAGTTCACAAGCACACTGGGCCAGTGACAGAATAGTTCTGCCAAATTTTCCAATTTTTGACATTTCTGAGCTTTAAAGTCAAATAATTGTGACACGTAAGACATAACAGGAGGAAAAACATCAGGCTCAGTTAAGGTAGCACAAGAACTGACTTACAATCTATACGGTTTTAATAAATTGAATATTGTTTTCTTTCTAAAATCCTGACATTCACCAAAATATGTGCTCGTGACTCATGCTACGTTTTCCTCAATAATATTCACAGAATACAATCCTATTCCAAACCAACTATTCTACTGGAGTCCACATTTAGTCCAGATCTTGCTTCTGTTCTTCAACACTTGTTAATAGAGCATCCTCACAGACGTTTTACTCTTAAAATCACCTACCATATATACATCCATTCATTTTCTAACCACTTCATTCAATTCAGGGTTGTGGAAAAGCCAAAGCCTATCTTATCTAATGACAGGCACAAGGTGGGATACTCCCTGGATGGGACATGAGTCCATTGCAGGGCACACAAACAAAGATACACACACTCACACCTAAAGCCAATTTCCCCAGAAGCCAATTAACCTACCAGTATGGCTGTGGAAAGAAACTGGAGCACCCAGTTAAAACTAAACTTAACAAGGGAAGAACATACATACTATCTCCACGTAGATAGCACCCCAGGAATTGAACCCAGGGTCGCAGCACTGCAAGACAGCAATGCCCACCACTTCACCACCATGCTACCTATCACATATACAGTACATATGAAAAAAGAACTTAAGAACCAACGAAGATGTTACTGTATGTACTTGATTTCAAATAAACAAATATCAATAATAGTTTCAAATATTCTCTGCCTCAGACACTACACTGAGAATTGTGGTATTTCCAGACACTTAACACTGTACTGGGTAAAAAAGGGCAACTAGGTTTCCCTAACCACAGTGTGTTTAAAACATACTGGTGTGTCTGTTGTAATGCTTGATGGAGTTCTTTAAACTACCAAACTGTTAAACTACCAAAGCCTTTCTGTTTATTCACAAGACCAAAGTTCTCCTCTGTTTCAATGAGAATGGTCAAATGCAGACTCATTTAGTTCTTCTCTTTGCTCCTAACTCTCATTGCAAAAGATGAGATACAGTACAGACATAGCACATGGCAGAAGCTGTCTGTCTTCAGAGAAAAACACAGTGGAAAGTCAGGTTAAATTCCATAGTTCAAGTTTGGCAATACACAAGGCACAGTTTAAAAGACATGATTCATCTACTGCCAAAATACATTCTGGTGTGTGAAAAGACTTACAATAGGCTTGAAAAAATGGGAAAAATGGTCCCTCTTTGTTAGAATAAAAAAATATTAGATTGCTGTTTAGAATGGGAATGTTTTTGCTCATTTTTACTTAATACAGACCTCACGTCTCCACCTAAATTTGGAAAACAATTTTACACTATAAAACACTTACACATGTCTAAGGATCAGAGCCAGCAAGGCCTATCACAAGGCTTTAGCACGTGCAGGATTGTTGTGAAGACAGATTCGAGTAACCAAGAGCAACTGGTCTAAAAACTTCTTTCCTCTAGTGTCCTAAATATACCAGATAATCTTGTAAGAAAACAGCTTACGTCAGTCAGGGAAGGTTAGAACTATAGACAAGGCACCTAAATCTCAATACCTGAAATGAAGTCTATGAGACTAGATGGATGACTTGGCCTAATCCCTTAGTTTGAGGGAAGTGTACTTTTAAGACCTATTTAGACACGAGATGTTTTTAATTCCAGTGTTTGTGCCAAATTTAAACTGGTTAAAACAGCTCTTTTTTCCCTTTCCTTAAGGAGCATGTTACATAACCATGATATTTATTTTTCTGCTGCAAGCTTACAAGCATGTGGACAGCCCTGTCACACCCATAGGCTAAATAATGAGATATCTGTTTAAACATCAGCTGACACGGTCAGATTCATAAAAACGAATCATAATTTAAACTCTTCATAATTAAATAGGGTCTGCAAATAATAAAATGTTTTCCAGTCAAATTACAATAACATAACAGAAATGTATTTAAAAAGCAATGTTTTATCATCATCAATAATCACGCAAAATAATGATGACTATTAAAAATTATTATTACAACTACTACTATGACTACTACTAAAAATAATGACAGAAACACAGGGAATGGTGACACAACAGCTCTATTTCTTTACTTTCTTGGGGACTGGTTTGGATTTATAAACAGGAAAGGATTCAACATAATGCCTCCAGAAAAAAAAGGAAAATTTTATCCATACTAGAAGTTTCCAGTGATAAAGTTTATCTTAGTGTAAACTAACTAATCTAGCTACTGTAGTCTCTTGGCAGTGGAGTAAAGAGAAGTGTATTGAGAAAAAGGAACCAAGATATACAGTAGAGCTCAGATCCAAAAAACAACAGATAAATCCATAAACTTATCATCATTTAACTCATTTTAACTCACAGGTCTGAATGAGAACATAAAATCGATTGGTTTTGGTGTTGGGGAGTCGGAATCTGCTTTCTGATAGGAGTAACTGGAAATTATTAAACAAGGGGTGTGAAGGATCATCACAGATGGATTTTGCTTTACACAATACATGTAAATGATATATGGTGGAGAGGGCTGGAAGATCAGCTCTAAGTCTTCTCAGATTCAGGTTACCAAACCAGCAGATCAGGGTAAAGTTAGAACAGATTCAAGAAGAACTGGTAGAACAAAACCAACAAAGAATCACTGACCTTAAAATACTTAGGCTTCCTTAAGAAAAAAAGGCAATATAAACCAGCAATATAGCTACTGTAATTACTTTTAAAATCACTCCCATCACCACTCTGCGTTGACGTTTTTCCATCTCAGGTTTTGATGAAGAGGAAAAGGAAAGGGCTGAAAGGCTAGAACTTTCACATTGTAGTGGGTATACATAAATGGGCAGAGACATCTCAGTCTGTCTTCCAAATCTGCATGTGGTCATTTACAATTTCTCTTTGCCTTGGCCACTTTTTTATGTTGACTCTCTCTTCCTCTGGCAATTACAGTAAGTTGCAGATCATGCTGTGAAGTCCAGGCAGGTTTTTGGCATGTATCCACAACCTGAGTAAGTACTCCAAGGTGCTTCCTGCAGCACAATTCCTTTGGACAACAGCCACTCCTGGAGTGCCAAAGTGCACAAGCACACTGGGCCAGTGACACAGAATAGCTCTGCCTAATTTTCCACTAACTTTGAATTTTCTTAACATTAAAAATCAAATAACTGTGATACTTAAAACATAGCAGGAGGAAAAAATATCAGGCTTAGTTAAGGAACCACAAGAATTGACTTACAAACTATAAATTTCTAAGAAATTTAATTATTTTTTTTCTTTATAAACATAAAATAATGGTATTGAAGTGAAGGTACGGTATTAAAGTTATGTATGTGAAACTGTAGCATAAAACTTGACATTCACAAGAATATGTGCTCATGGCTCCTCAGTAACATTTACAAAATACAGCCCTCTTCCAAACCAACTATTCTAGATGGCTCCTTATCCAGATCCTGTTTCTGTCTCCCAACATAATAATCCCTATATACTAATGGTGAGCAACCAGTGGTCCAGGGACACAAGCAACCCTTGGAGATAAAACAAGGGATTCAAAAAAACAATTTCCATTTACACATTTTAAATATACATTTGAAACATTTGATCCTTGAAACATTTTAAAAATCCTTATGCATAGGTTAACACTTAAATGCATTAAGGATGCAAAGAAACAAGCAGAGGTTCATTTCAAGTTGAAAAGTAGTACTTTTTAGAGTAGAATGAACTCCTAATTTTTTCCTTTGAAGATCTATAAGTGTATACATTTTTTTAAGTCAGAGGTCTTACCTAGCTTGTATAGGTTGTTTCGAAAACAGAACAATTTAGAAAGCCAGATTCAGTACAGCAATACTCTAAGTTTTCCAGAACGCCATACTGCATGTGAATAGAACATCCCTGCTTCCACAATGGAACGCTTTTTACCTATTTGTCCTGGCACCTGTTTTCCTCGGAAGCGCAGGCAGAGGGAGACATTGAGACAGTTGAGATGTTGGGACCCATCATGACATTGAGGTGTTGTGATGTTAATGGAGGTGGGAAGGAAGATTGAAATGTCCACTGTGACAACAGGCCTTGATCTGTAGCAAAAGGTGAAGCAAAGGGATCAAACATTGATCTCCACCACGTGTGAGAAAAGGACTAATTTCTGAAATATTACATCTGTAATTTGGCACATTTTTGACAGAAAGTCAGCAAGAGGGGCAAGAAACACAGGTCAGATCTTCTTGTAATGGACTGTTCAAGCAACTGAATGACCAAAAACAGAAACTGAAGAAAAATGTCTTATCTTCTTTGCAAGAAGTCCTGACAGTAACAAATCACTCACCTAAAGAATACTGTTGGGTTTTGTTTAAGTGAAATGTGAAGTACTATCAGATTAATCAGCTAAGATAATAATAAATAATAATTGCTTACATTTATATAGCACTTTTCTGGACACTCCACTCAAAGCACTTTACAGGTAATGGGGACTCCCCTCCACCACCACCAATGTGCAGCCCCACCTGGATGATGCGACGCCAGCCATAGTGCACCAGAACACTTACAACACATCCGCTATTAGCGAGGAGGAGAACAGAGTAATGAAGCCAATTCATAGATGGTGATTATTAGGAGGCCATGACTGGTAAGGGCCAATGGGAAATTTGACCAGGATTCCGGACTTACACCCGTACTCTTTTCGAGAAAGGCCCTGGGATTTTTAATGACAACAGAGAGTCAGGACCTCAGTTTTACGCCTCATCCAAAGGACAGCATCTATTTTACAGTATAGTGTCCCCATCACTATACAGGGCCATTAGGACCCACATAGACCACAGGGTGCTGGCCCCACTAGTACCTCCAAATCTATCATCTCTAAACCATGAGTCAAAATCTATAGAACCAATAGGAAGGGATTACAGGAAACAAATTCAACAGTAACATCAATTCACTAAACAAAATTAATCTGTTTTTTCCTGGCACCTACTGCCAGTAACTGTGCATTTTGTAGAACAATGGTTCCACTGTGGAGGAAACATAATAAAATTGTTGCAGTACATAATAATCTGTCCACAACCATCTGGCTCCAGTGAATAAAAAAACTGAAATTTCCTGTTATTAAATATCGATTCATTCTTTACACATACAGTCTAGTCTGCAAACATTATTTTACACACTCAAACTATACTACAGTTCTTATGTTCTTATAAAGCATGGTACATTTGAAAAGATCTGCATAGATCTGTGATGTTTAAATGCAATTAAAGTACAGCCAAGACGTAAGCATTGCCATAGGACATGAATCTAAATTTGTCATAGTGCAAAAAGACTTGACCACAAACTTTGTTAAAATTACATATCTTGTTTTTTTTTTTTTATCAGGTAATAAATTATTAGGAAAGAAGAATAGAAATGCTGAAGTCTTATTTCCTGGTGAGCCTCAGCTGTCATGTTGGTCAGGGAAGTGGCTGTTTCATGCCAAGAGTCTATGCTATCACTACCCTGCATTAGCAGGGCCTCCAGGTAAACTTTAGAGGGCTTTCTTAGAGCTGAGCTTTCTTCCAAAACACCACAGTTCCTTTTCTATAAATTCCACAAATTTCCAGAAAGGAACAATGTAATAAAGTCCCCGTGAAACATCTCATCATGTTTTAACAGAGCTGTAATGTTACGACCCCAAGTGTCTAGGGGTATAGGGGTGTAACATTTAGGATAATTCTTTTGGAAGCAGGTGGGTTTTGGTGAGGGACTAGGAAGCGTGATAAGGGTAAGGAACTAGAGTGGTGCCAAAGAAAAGAAAATAACAAACAAAATGGAGCTGGCTAGGACAGTGAGGGAAAGCTAACCTAACTACAAAAGAAAACCCGAAACACACGGTCTTCGGCATCTTCAACACCTTAGCTAACCTGCACTGACTACCCAAAACCATACAAGACAAATGGCACTCACTCGTACTAAATTAGTGTACTAATACAAAATCAACTAAGTGTGTAAAGTGCACCCAACAACCTAAACAAACCTTATATACAAAAGTTCACACAAAAAACACAAGTAAACCAGGAATACAAATAAGGGAAAACAAGAGTAATCAACAGGAGCAGGGTACAAAAGAACACAAAAGTTGAACATGTAACACTGTGACAAGGTAATGGCAAAACAAGGATGAACACACAAACAAACGAAAGTACAAAGAAACTAACAACAAAGCCGAAGCAATAACCAGAAGCGAAGCGAAGCAAAGCAAAGCAAAGCAAAGCGATAACCAAAACCAAACAGGACCAAAGTCAAACAAAAGGCCCCTCCTTGCTGAAAACCTCCATGTTACATGCTGAACAAGATGCATTCTGATTGGCTGAGAGCTAACTGATGATGATGTCATACTGAAAGTGTGGTGTAATGGTGGGCCAATGAGGAAGGGAGAACAATCAAGGGTCAGCAGTGTGGACATAACAGAAAAAACACACACTGGGACGTAACAGTAGGAAACAGTATTTCACTGTTGTGTTGAATGCTGAATGTTGTTTGTATTACTGTAGTGTATGTACTGTTGTTGTATCATTGTCATAAATGTTATATGTTTATGCAGAAGACAGATTTCCTCAAAGACAATAAGGGTTAATTAAATTTAATTTTTCATATATAATGTTGAAGATCTTAAAGGACAAAGAAACTTCCAGAAATTAGTAAACTGAAAGCTCACCTCAGCAGCACTACATTATCCGACATAAAGGCACCAATAGTAACATCTGCAACAGAAAAAGTATGACAAATGAGAAACAAAAATTTGAAGTATTTTCTTTTGACTTCAGATACTGTAGATTTTACATTAATGCGATAAAATAAAAAAATAAGAAAAAAGTTCATTCACTGTTCTTTCAGAAAATACAAAACAGTTTATTTTACAATAGCAAGGAAGATAACTACTTTTACAATTTTTGATTATATATATTCTATAGAAAAGGTACTATCAGTCATCTCTTTAAGAGAAATTAATTAATTAAAATTAGACATGCCTGTATTAAAGACATCAGAATCTTGTCCCCATGTATCCTGTTCTGTTTAGACATCTGTTGAAGTTCATAACAATACCCTCTTTCTGGAATCCATTGCCTTATGTAACAATATTGTTGATGTTATATGTACAGTAACTGTTTGGTGTCATCTCGCTGCACAAACACTTAAATACCTCTTTTACCTAGTCATTTCAGCCATACCTTTCTCTGGAATAGAGGACATCCTTCATTCTACCTCTAGCACACAACATTTACAATGTGAATATCATCTTATTATCAAATAAGCTCACTACAATGGGTTAAAGAGGTACTATACCACACAAAAAAATACATTTCATATTAAAAAATATGTATTTAACCATATAGTCATATTATGATTAGAGTGTTTTTGTGGGGTTTGTGCAGGAAATAATTAACCAAATTAAAGAAGGGGAAATTTAGGTCAGAATATATTACTTGCAGGTTGATTAGGGATCCTACCTTCACTTCTGAAAACTGCCTTGATCTTAGACAGGACCTTGGTTTAATGTGTCATTAGAAGACAGTATCTCCCACAAAACCTTGCCTTCTCTTACCACACTGGGGAAACGGGTCTGTAATTTCAGGCCTCATGGGTAGTGTGCCAGATACACACTAAGCATAACTACTTCCCTCAATAAACTGTCTCAGATTAATATTAAAAATGAATTAATAATCTAGAAGACCTACCTGACTAATAACATAGATAAAACTATTTATGAAAAAAATTAAATTAATTTAGTTATTTATGTTAATACATCTGTTATATCAGTTATTTCACATTGCATTTCACTTTTTATCACAGAAAAACATGGACGGAATTTGACAAAAAGAACCAAAAGCCCATGACCTACAAAGTACATTTGCTGTTGTAATTTATTACATATAAATCAAGTTCAAGATCAAAGAAGAAATTTCTTCTTTGAAATCTATTTTTTTATTTTTCGTTGTTCTAGTATTTAAAATCAAGACACTCTGGTCACCCCACACAACCAAACCACACTTTTCTAATATATGATGGAGTCGTCATTATTATTCATCAGACGTTCGTAAGGTGGAATGATCTGAAAATGTGCTTATGAATTGGTTTGGACCAATGGCAACAGTACAATAGCATATGTTCTGTGTTTGTCCAAATGCTTTGAAATGAGTAAGGGTAACTACTGAACCTTCTGTGCTTCACTGTTTTTATGAGCAAACAGATATGGATCAAGTTTGCCATTTGCTGACTGAGTGGGGTTCTGAACCAAGACCCTTTTCAACTATTTCATTAAAATTTACATAAAAGCAATTGGCCAAAAATCATTGTGTTCTTTTGGACATGGTTTCTTAGGGTGGGGTGTGATATGGGAGGTTTTCTATACAACAGGAATAATAATAATGTGTGTGTTAAAATATCTGGAAAATTATTTTCTGAGTAGCAGCACTGTAAGCATATGGCTAACTTCACCACCACTTTCCCAACAGTGAAAGTCTGATGCTCTATTGAACAGAGCTAAAAGAGACATCTCTCTGTACTTACCTGGATACTCATTTCCATCCATATCCACATTCCCTGATATTGACTGACCAAACATCCTCAAGGTGGGGTTGATACTTTGGCCTGAAAGTCTCTGAGGAATAACACAGGATTAAAATTGGTTGTTCATTGTACAGATAAATTATATTGTAGCCCCAGACGGCACACTTTAGCCATGCGCACACAAGGCGAGCTGGGAACAGCGCCTGGGGGTGGGACTACGGGACTACTATATAGTGGGGCGGAGGCTGGGAGACGGTCTCTTCCCTTCGTGTCTGTGTGTTAGTGAAGGTACAGCGGTGTAACCCCTGTCCTTGTGTGTGTACCTTTCCCCAGTTTGAGTTAATAAATGTGTTGTTCAACCCCATTCCCTGAGTCCCATTCCTGCTCCATTCCTTGCCGAACCTGAATTCGTTACAATATCATATTCATGCAATGCATTGCAAGGCTGCAAGAAAGATTTTGCGATCAAATATTGGTAAAACTGACTGATGTTATTTTCTAATGTATCGTAGAAAATACAGGTGTTTCAATCTCAGGCTTCAGCGAAAGTCTTAGATTGAGAGGCTAAAACCATTAAATCTTCCCCAGTCTTGAACACAGAGGCCTACCATTGGACCTGATTCAAGTATTCACAACCCTCAAAGCCACTGGAAAAGTCAACTCAATGAACTTCATCAGAATCAACAGGGAAATAGAAACCAGAGGACACAAGTGGAAACTATGTGGAAGTGCATTTAAAAGGTATTGTTACATCAAGTGTTGCAGGGGTGATCTGGAACAATCTATCCAGTCAAAAAAACATGTTTTTTTCCTAAAAACAGCCTGATGAGATCCTTGAATAAATTAGCTTCTATTAACTATTTGCATGGTCATATGAGCTACTGTAGATAAGTCACATAGGCTCCTCTTATTTGTAATGTTACTACTGTTCTAATAACTACAGAGCTTTACAAAAATATTCTCCCTCCTTTCAACGATATCCCATTTTGTCTCATAACTTCTGAATTACTTTATCCTTGGAATTACCAGGCTTCTATGAAGAAAGTGAATCATTACAAAAATAGCTATAGATTCACTCGTGTCTTTTTTCATGGTTTTGCAAGCTCTGGCAAATGTTTGTATCCCTGGCAAAAACATAAATAAAATGCATAAGCAGTGAGCATAGCCAGAACTTCATTCACATGAAAATGATTCTACTTTTCTCTCTTTTTCTCCAGAGCTTAAAGTTTTTGTTGTACAATTTCAATTCAATTCTATAGAATGTACAACACACATAATGCAACTCTGTACAATTGCTTTTATTAAATATTTTAAATGCATGTTATTTTTTACAACATAAATGTAAAAATTACTAAGTCTCACAGCATTTTTGTATTAGATTTGGAAAATGAGGAGTAAATAAACAAGGCACACTGGCACATCCTTTGTAACAGCAGTGTTATTTAGTCATGTTTCTTTCAATAACAGCAAATCTATTAAACTCGATAGTGTGATTCCAAGGATTCTAGTTCTCCATTCAACTTAATTAATAATCGACTGGCTGTAGGTAAACCTAAAAACCTCTAGCCTGAAGACTGATAATCTGATTTACAGTAAGAACAAGCAGGCAATGGCTGGCTCTGTCATTTTTGCATAGACCCAAAAGAATTGTTACTGGATACTCTCAAACGAAATGCTATACTTGTATGTAAAAAGTAATGAGTACCAACCAGCATGTCTAATTTAAATAGGAAGTTCCTGAACCTATAAAACAGAACTAAAAGAGACATCTGTCTCTACTTTTTCTTCAGTGTTGTCATGTACAGTCAAAGTCAGGAAAAGTGATTGTTATACAGGATGGAATTTAGGTACAATTTTCTTTTAAGGTGAATACTTGATTTGTATACTCTCAAACAAGTATATTTCAGCATCAGTTTGTTTTTCACTGCATAACATATTAGCTAGAGAAAATAATATGTTGACTACTGTGAAGTACACAAGTCCCAATCCTGACATAAGACAACACAGAAGAAAATCTCATAATATGATCATCTGTTCACAAATGAGTCGATAGTTTGTGAAATTGTATGGTACTGTACATCAGAACATTAGAAACATTGAGAGAAAGCCATTTGACCTGCCATGCTCATTTAGTTCTATTTCTCTGTAGTCCCACAGCAAGCAGTTTTTTAGACAGTGAAAAGTCACAAGATGACATCCTCTTGAAGATGGAAAGAGTCAATTTAGTGTAGCCAGTCAAATCTAAAGGGCGTGTCGAGAATTGAGAGAAAACCCAAACACCCAGAAAAGACTCAGTTCAGCATGAAATTTACAACCACATGTTTTCAGTTGGGTGGCCTGGAGTGCTGTTTGTCACCTTGTCAACCAATTTGAAAGCCACAGTCTTGATACATGTCCTTCTTCATCTGTTTTTTCTATTGCCACAGTGAATACAGCACCCACACTGTGTTCCGCCCGACTTCTGTGGCTGACCATAACTGCATGTCTCACAGTGAGGTTGATGTTTCTCCAACACACATGTTCTCTCTGCTACAAAACCAAACAACTGTATGTGTCTTAAAAGATTGTCTTCGTAAACATCAAAATGACATTAAGATGGTATTTTTTAGCAGGTTTCTACTCACATTTGATAGTGTGAAAAAATAGGTGGGTTCAAAATGTTCAAAAAACTAAACATTGCTTTTATAATATGCTGAGACAGAATCATGTGGAAAAATGCTCTTGAGCCGATAACCTTTTCTTTGCAAGGGTGAACACAGCTACATGGCCTGGAAGACGTCAATACTATAGGTACCTCTAGCATATGAGGCTCAACACTGAATTCAAACTTCTATAGTATAGAAAAGTTTGCATTGAACACCTTTCCTACCTATCTTATACTGGATATATTAAACACGGAAAATAAATTAGGCTAAATCTAGAATAATGGCATGACATTAACCAGCTTATAACTCACACATTCCAAAACCATGTGGCTTCCTACTGGATGGACACAAGGCACCTCAAACAGAACAGTGCCCTCAAAGGACACAATATAAAATCTGATGTTGACACATGTGTCAAAGTTTGATCTTAACAAGCCATTGACAAAAAATACTTTTGCTTATCCGTTTTATAAGGATAATTACCATAGAGTACTTTGTCACTATCCCATCAGCATCACCGTGATAGATGTACACTGCTCCTGCAAAATCGTCCTCCTTGGGAGCTCCTATAGCAACATCTGTGGATGAAAGCCAATGAAAAATAAGAGGGGGCACCCTGATTCCAATTGGGAAACACATTTGCTCCCTTTGCCTGCTAATCCAATAAAACCATGTTTGTTTTAAATACAAGTAGTGCTCAGATAATTCCTTGTTAAGTTGACCTACAGACACTTTATGACTGTTAAGCCTCATATAAAGTGTGTAACAATTTGATTCACTAAAAACAGGGGTGTTAGACCCAGGGAACACGGTACATTAACTGCCAAGAAAGGCTGTTTAGAATTTGCAATTTTGTGACAAAAAAAATTGTCATCCTGTAATGTTTGTGAATTTATATGCATAGCTTTGGAAATCAAAGCTTTAGTTTTATGTGACTAAATAAATATTTTTTAATTCTGGATAATTTAATACACATTAAGGAATAATGTCACACAGAGATGTCAAAGAAAGCATCTACACATCAGAAACATGCAATTAATCGTAAATGTTATCTATAGAAACAGCATTAAAAGACCAGAATCCAAACTCTGATGTGCAAAAGATTTTACGATGTTCTAGCATTTTAAATAAAGGACTATAGGGAACAGCCTTTTTTACATTATACAGTATGTGTTAAATAATAAATAAAACAGAAATGGTGACAATAAGAAAAGACAATAAATGTGCCACAGAACTCTCTAGGTGTCACTAAAATTACAATAGCTCCTCTTCTTTTGGATTTGGAACAGTGAAATGTGTTATTAACCAACTATTGAAAATTCACTATAATCCATAGAACACACAGCATAAAACAATTCTTTAAAACTCATATTCTCAAATACTGTATTATCAAAGTGGGATGCATTATAAGAAAATAAAAAAATTACTCTCCAGAATTTTGCTATTACAATAAATTCTCATGAGGAATGACTGAAGGCCTGCTATGCTGGACCAAGATTATTGTGTCTGGCAAAGTCATCTTTAATATCCATAGAAAGCTTTTACATGACACTTGCCAAGACTAAAACAAGCTCTGCCAATGAACAAACCAGGTGTCATTTTAGGATGACCAACTGGATGACTTAATTATAAGGTGTTGTTATATCAAATAAAGCTTTTGCCACTCACTCTTAAAACTGTGCAAAATATATGTAAAAATAAAAATGTTAAAGGTTGTAAGAAATTAAAAATAATGACTTCAGTTTTCTACAATGCTAGACATTTTTGATAAATATACAGCATGTAAAACTCACAAGCATTAAAAGAATGAGTAAAAGGTACTGTATAGACTGACCTGGGAACCCATCGTCATCAATATCTCCCAACACAGCGATGCTCTCACCAAACTGGGCATTGAAAGCATTGTCACCTTTCAGGATTTCTCCCTCCTCCAGCACACCCTGGCACACAGAGAACACAGGAGTAAGAGCTCAGGCCAATGAACACACAGCTGGCTTTGTGCTGCACAGGTCTGGCACTTCACTGCTTGCAGAAACACCCACTTTTTCAGGGAATCACCAGTCAGAAGAATGTGTGGTCTGTGCTCAGTGTCAAGCATAATAGCAGATATGTAAAAGAAGGAATTCCAGCTCTGGATTCCACTTCTTTTCTTTTTTTCTGGCTAAGGAACAGGGCAAATTCTATTAATGTAATTTATTAATTCTCCCAAAATATAAGTAATACCCTATTAAAGTAATAATTTCTTTAAACTTTAGTTTAATATATTGTATAAAATTTTCCACGTTATGACAACAGTGTTCATTTTTAACCAGGTGCCAGTAAAATATTTTAAAATGTAAAGTAATTACTTTTATACCAAAATACAGACCTGCAAGTAATGAAATTCTATGCTTAATTATGTATTGGATTATATGTATATTATTTTCCAAACTAGTTCCACAGTACTGTAAATCAGTGATTCCCCAGCCATGGCCACACCAGGGAGATCTATACACCAGTTCCTGTGATTTCCCAAACTAGAGATGGTTAGTGGTACTGAATGGGAAACCACTAGATGACAGATTTTGCATACCAAGATTTGTTTTAAAGATTGAAATTAAAATCTACATGGCTTTATCAAAAATTGGCTTTATCCTCAAGATCTCATGGCTGGTGGTTTTAAATGGCATATTATGACACAGATCAAGCTTACACAGGCAAACCTTCTAGATGTCAAACAGAAGACTTACATTGCCTCTCCCATAGAAAACGGACACTTGTCCCTCGTCTCTGATCTCGCTGAACATGGGAGCACCAACCAGCAGATCTGATAACCCATCCTGGTTCAGGTCAACTGCACATAAGGATGAGCCAAAGTAAGAGCCCATCTGGAACCAAGCCGAGCCACAACAGAGTATTCAGTCAGATTACATGCCAAGCAAAAAAGGTACTGTAGCAAACTGTAGCAAACTGCTCTCCTGATTTTTTGCCATTACTTTCACTTCAACATTATTTGCTAGCATTTGTTTCGTGTTTGACTTTAAGGTATAGAACAATATATTTTTCAGTTAGTAGTCTGGGAAATATTACCACAAATCCAGCCAACAAGTGTTTACCCTGAAGTTAGTATTTAGTTTGTCATTTTTAGTTTACTTCCAGCTATTATTCCAACATCAAGCATGAACTCAGTAGGGAGAACGTGTTCTGAACTAGAATGTTTATTGAGCACTTTTCAAAGCACATGCTATTCTTTTACTTAATTTTTGGTTTTGGGAATGCTCCCTTGTACAGTATATGTTGTATAGAACTGGTGTGCATGGTAAGTGCTTACAAAAAGACAATCTCTTAATGATTTATGGATTACTTTTTGAGAAAGAATTGTTACTGTTTGATCAATTCCTTCACCTATATCATGGTGTTTTTCAAGGAAATCTATCAGTTTACTCCTCAGTGATCCCACATATGACTAACATCATTTCTAACGATGTAACAAACAAAAAAATAAATTGAAATATTTTTGATTCAGTGTGTTTGCTTAATTAGGCTAAACCCATCAAATTGACAACACAGAACTAATAAAGACCCAGAAGTTATAGAACAAAGCGTCACATGAAGTGAAACATTTGACATCTGTTAGGTTATCTTCCGTAAACTGAAGTTCTTGTTTTGTCACTGAAGAGGTAAATACACTCAGCTGATAATGTCAAACTGGAACAAAATGGCATGACTTCCACTTTTCTGTGGCTCTTTCACAAACAAAAACCTCTTCCCACCACCAAACCGTTTCACAGAGAATCAATTTATCACATTTCAAGGCTCAAAGTATTGATTCTGAGACACATTTTTCTGTGACTTTCTTTAGATTGAAGTAAATGAGAAATGGCATCCACTTTACTAGATATACTAGCACATACATCAATTAACACGAAGCCACTTTTTTCTAGTAACCCAGTTCCTACCCTGGAATCACAGGGCAGCACTTCAAGTCTAGGAAGGGTAAGGAAAAAAACTAAAAATCTTGAGTAAACCTACATGAAAGCAGGGAGAACATGCACACTTCACACAGAATCAAAAAAAGTACCCAGAATCTGTGAGGCAGTAGCTCAAACCATCATGACACCATGTGTCACTCATACTGACACAATGTTAGAAAACCTCACAATTGTATTTTAAAGTGTTATATTCCAGTAAACATTTGTAGCTCATCACAAAATGTGTACTAAATTGTCCTTTCTAATTTTATTGTTCTTTAAAAAAATATACTTCTCAATTTTACTACTGTTTTTATAATACAACTAATAATAGTTGTATTTATCTATTATCTATCTATTTATTAAATTACCATGGCTTTCATGATGAATAATGATGAATCTTATGAATCTTCATCTATTTAGCAGATACTGTGTAGAAGCATAATGCAGATGACATTATAAATTAAAAATCTACAGTTATGAATGTATTGTAAACAAATTAATGGGAATAGATTTCACTTTGATATTTTTGCCTACCTTTTTCCCTGAGGCTTGGAAAATCTTCACAAGAGAACCTCTTTCAATTTTGAAAATGTAAACCTAAAACAAATGGAAACTAAGCAGTATAAGTTATAATTGTTTCAAACTGATATGCATCAAACTTTGATTGTATTCTTATTATTTACATTTTATGAGTCTCAGCAGTGACTCATTTCCAGTATTTTTGTGTGCAAAACTGGGCAAACGTTTCCTCGTGACTAAAGTAATGTGCCACACTTAAACTCGGACTGAAATGACACTCTAGCAGTGCAAGCCTTAGGATAGTATTACTTGCAGAAGATGATCCTGCATATTGCAGCTTATTTAGAAATCTGTAACTGTGAAACTAAATCCTATGGCTTCAGGCTTCAAAGAAACCTAAAATATACAGTTAGATCCAATTATAAAATGCTAATAAAGGTGCAAAAAACATTGTATAGCATTTCAGGTATTGTTTGTGCAATTGAAAACTCAATTTCTTGACACAGGGGTTTATAATAATATCCACCTTTCCATTAGCCCCATCCCTTGGTGCTCCCCCAACAATGTCTGTAGCTGTGGGTGAAGAGAAGTGGCCAGCCGTCAGCGCATACCCTGAACAGACAAGAGAGGGAAAGAGAGCAGGACTGTTCAGCAGCTGGTCCATGTCAAAGTGTTAGGGCTGGATTCAGTGACTTGGCCCCTATTTGAACACCACCCAGAAACCACTGAAACCCTGGGATCAATCCCTACCTCTGCAAGAGCCTGAAAATAACTCACTAAGCATGGGAATTGAGTGACTCAGATCTGTATTTAGCAACACGGATGGAAAAAAGTATAAAAGAAGGAGGGGTACGCAGTGATGGAAAAAAAAAAGAAATGGCAGTTGGAAAGGGGTGCACCTCCCTAAGTTATGTTACTGTCCCCAGACAGCCATTTCACTGCTGTACTGTATGTAAACCTTGTTCATTTTTTCTCTTTTTACTCTTTTGTTATATACATGTATTATTTGTTGGTTTGCTTTCTTTATATTGTCTGCTGCTGCAAGGCACATTGCCCCTTGGGGATAATGAAATCTCACTCTCTCGAACTGCTTCAGTTCCTTCTTCTTCAGGAGCAAAGATAACTAGAACAGAAATCAATTCTGAAACTTCGCATGCTGTTACAGCTTTTATCCTATATTTAAGTGGAAATAAATCCTTAAATTATACTGTATACTCTATGATATATTCTAAAATATGCAGGGGATGTTTTTAAGAACACATTAATGTAAGTACCACTGTTTAACAAGCAGTAGAGTATACAGTATGTGACAGTTATAAGAGATATTATTTCTTAAGGAAGTCTTTAGCAATTATCAAATTTAATTATTAGCGTATGGAAAGCACGTACTGTAGCAAGGGCGACTGCTGAATATACTGTACATCTTCTGTTCATATAGTAGAGAACTTCTATATTTTGAAAAAATTGTGTGTGACGAAGTCAGGAAATTACAAGAGGAACTGAGGGAAAGGAAAAACTAACATTGAGCCATACAAAACATTTTTTTTTAAATATTAAAACCAGCCATAATGTAAAATAAGTTAAAACTGACACTGACAGGCTACTAATTGCCAACTTATAATAAACAGTTCTTGAAGATTTATTTCCTCTCACAAAAAAGCAGTGTTAGGATTAAATAACTGCAAAATAGCAGTAAATAGTCCATCTTACCTAGATAGCTGTATCTGCTAGCTCCAACTTCATTCTCTTTCAGGTTGTAAGAGGAGTTTGAAGTCAGGTTAAAAACTTTGATGGTGCCAGTCCAATAGTAAGATCCTGGAGCCCCCATGACCACCAGCTCCTACATGAAAACCACCAAAACAATGAGCCATAACCCCTGGCAGAGCCAGCTCACAGGAGGTATATCCCTGACAGGGCAAAGACACTGAGGTAGGAATTGTGGAAAGGAGTCAGTCTCATACCACAGCAAATCAATTTAGTCCTTTTAAAAGCTGCTCTTTGATGCTAGGTGTAAAACAGTAAAAGTAGATATGCGTGACAAAATACCATATTTAGACAAATTAATAAAAAAGATTTGGTTTATTATAGTGCATTTTTCAGGGCTACCTTTCTATATAATAATTGCCAATTACCTTTTTGGTTGATTTTTCATAAAGAAGCAATACACCACATTGTTATCTCTGAAAACTACAATTGTATTTGTTTATTTTAATATTTTGGCTTTTGCTTTGCTGTAGAAATACAGCATGTTCTTGACTGTGAAATTAGTGAGGATTTGGTAAGGCAGATTATCAAATATTAAGTCAGATTCTGATTTTGTAAGTGTAACCTTCTTATTTTTATATGCAACAATATAGCCATGTAAGGAGCTGAAGAACTGAAGAATACCCATTTTTAATCACACTCTTGTAGTTATTCAATTTTACTTGGTGACTAGAATTTGCTTTTTGAAGGACTACTGGCTTGTTCCTGAAGTAATGTGCCAGAATAACAACTTTGCAAACCTTATCTTGAGGATAATGAAATTAAAAGTGGCCCAACTTCATGATAAACTTATTTGTAATTACTCTGCAATTTTACTTTGGGGGTGTTACGCCACGCCCCCAGAGGAATCGGCATTCCACCTCACATTCCAGAACAGTTCCCAATTAGCCCTTTTCCCCAGCCTATTTAATGGTGCCTCACACTCTTCCCGGTGCAAAGTATAAGCGTTTTCCTGGCTAGAGTCTCATTGTTATTCGCTACTTGGTTTGTGGCTTATTGACCCTGGTTTGTTCTCCGTCTACGTCTCCTGGTTTCGGTTTTGGTACTTTTGCTCTCGTTCTGGTATTGACTTTCGGTTTCCTTACGGATTATGGCTCTGCCTCTGGTTATTTGTACTTTAGCACCAGCTAGTTTACCTACGGCTTTCAGACTTCAGACTGTTCTTTCGACTACATCTTTTGGAGTTTGCCCTGGTTTTCTGCATAGGGTCCTCACTACTAAATCCTAACAGGGGGCCTTTCTAGGTGAGTTTTATTAACTAACGTTGATCACAGCTGATAAGAAAATGGGTATTGTGCAGGACACTTTATGTGAGAGCTTTATTGTTCTGGTTTCTTTTCAAGCATATCTGACTGCTTGAGTTCCTAGCAAAAATATGCTGTTTTAGTATTAGGGATGTACAACAGACATGGTGTGCAGTAACATAAACTTTATCACTCTGTTGTGATATTCTCAGCTTGTTTCTCGATTAACAGAATAGATTCCTCTATGAAAATTGCTGATCTGAATGTGTGAGTCCTCATGGTATCAACAAACACAAACTTTCGTTATCTCTAAACTGGACAAACTTCTGTATGAACTTACAGTCATTTAATTCGGTCATACAGAATTAAAAATTATGACTATGTACATTCAGCAAAATATAGCTATTTTGCATTTTGATTACCCGGAGAGGGACTGATAAAGACTAATTTTACAAAGCATCTTGATTCCTCATCCACTGAACAAAAATCTGGTAATTTTGATGGCGAAGAGGCCCATATAAGGTGATGATAAGGTGATGGATTCAACTCAGTGATAACAGTCAGACAACAGAGGGACAAGAAGAAAGGACAGGGCAGTGAAGACATAATAAAGATTGAAATGGGGTGAGAAAGAGGGCAATAATGAAAGAAAAGGAAGTCAAGGAAATGTAGAAGTGAGTGAATGGAGGACAGGGTTAAGAGGGCCAAAAGACAAAAGAAGTGGAAAGGTTAAGAAACAGGACAAAAAATTCTCCTGAAATCTACTGTTCCTGTGAAAAAGAACCTGCCAAGTATAAAGAAAAAAATGCATGTGGTGTCTGTAAAATTATAGTGAATACTCTGAATGGTTATGTTAGGCCACCCACTTGCTTTTGCTGTGTTCAATGTTCTCTGTGTTTCAGATTGCTGATTTGAAAGAAGATTGTTCGTGATGTAATCCTAGTGAGTATATTTGGCACTTGATTTTATAAAGTAAAAATGCAAACAATTTCCATTATAAATAAGGGTTCAGTTTCACAAAGAATAAAAATTTTACCTCTGATCTCTACCCCACACATTATATACTGCATACTGAATACCCTTCACAATTCTGATCACATAATTTTTTAACCACAATACATTTTCTGTAACTTTCCCATGATCATGTATTTTTATGCAACCACTGTGATACCTACCCAGTTACTCTAAACTGTCTCTTCTAATCAGAGCTGATTTTAGCCACCTTATAAGCCACCTTCCTTTTTCATTCATTACAAATGTTTTAATTCTTAACATTTACCATGTAGTTTTTTTATACCTGACAATGTCATGATGTTTTATATATTTATTATATTTTAATTTTACTTTTTATATACTATTTTGTGCTGTGGTTGTGTTACAGTATAAAGCGTTGTAACAAGGCTCTTTGTAAAATACCCTGAGTTGATGAACATTATGAAAAGGCACTTTTTCAGAATAAATACAAAAATGTTTTCAAAGCACTCCTTTTGAACCTGTATTTTTTCCCTAAAGTTAACTTTTCTTTCATTTTTTTTCAAACTTTAGCTATGTTAACCGACAAGGTATTGATCCAGATTTCCCAAACAACACCAGGTCTGTGTCTGGAAATGGGGCCCGCTGTTATTAGTCTGTTAGGTAATGTACTGGAACAAGAACCAAGCTCTGAAATTTCTTCAAGTATAAGAACAACATTAAATAGAGTCCAGAATGACATCTTGATGAATTCGATGCACTAATGAGAAAGAAATTGTACAGTGTTTTATCAGCACAAAGCTTAAATAATATTATTTAAACACTTTCTACACATAAAACTAATTAGTGCTGAAAGCTACAGTACACTTCAAATGTTCATGACACCACAGCCAAAAATAAAAGTTGTGTAGTAATATGTAGAAGATATTTTTAAGGTCTAATCCTGAATTCCTAATTGCTTTCAAGCTACATACCTGTTACTAGGAATAATACTCTAGCATCAACTCTATACATGGTAAGATGCAGAGAGTGAGCAGTATTAAGTTAAAGAACAGTAGACTGTATCGGAGAGCTCAAGCCATTACAGACCTCAGTAAAAAATCCTGCTATTCCAGCCTGACATGATCCATGCTCTTCCCCATATTTCTTCTTATACTCTACAAGAAAAAATAAACCACAAATTATTTAACTGTAAGTCATGCCAGAATTTTCCAAGCCAAGATTTACTGGAATTCTTCCTCTGTTCCATATGGAGTCAGTCAAAGCTAGTGTTGTATCCAAAAGGAATTTGGGCTAAAAAGCAGATTTAAAAAAAAAGTGGTACTGTATTCAACACACATTTGCACTTCTGGGGCACAGTCTCATGTTACAAACAATATTAGGCTTGGATCGCCACAGGCTGCTCATTACTTATAGAACATATCACAACAGAGCACTACAAATAGTGGAACTGGCAAACCATTTAGGAGATAGATGTCAGGGAAAGGAAGGAAGTGAAAGGTTGGCTAAGTAGCTTGAGAACTGAATGTCATTGAATTCTTCCTTTGTAAAAAAAAGTTTTTCAATGGGTCAAATTTTCTGAAACTTATTAGCACCACGGGGGAAAAAATGATCTCGTTTATATGAGATAGTGTTGCATTTATACTAGAAAAATATCTTGTTTTTACAAGAAAATTATTGCATTGATACAAGAAAAGTATCTTGTTTATATGAGAAAATGATTGTGTTTAAACCAAATAGTTAATTTTTGAACAATGTTGCCTACCATATTAATACACTATACTGCATTGTATTGTGTATGCAATAATATTGTCCTGTGCAAAGTAGCATTGGCTTTAAATAGAATATCATAACATTTCTAAAAAAAAAATAATCTACATGAAGTACAACACCATGTCAGTAAGCATTCCCAGGTTAAACGTACTATTCTCAAGATAATTTTCTCATATAAACGCAATAATTTTCCTGTACAGTATAAATGGGATACTTTTCTCATATAAATGCAATACTATGTTGTTTAAACAAGATATTTTTTTCTCTGTGGTGCTAATAAGTTTCCGTACAAATTTAAAATAATGTGAGATTTCTAAACAACTTCTTTTAATAAGTAATGTAATGTAAGTAAGTAATGATAATGTATCAAACTGTACTTCGGCAAATGGAGGAAAAATGACAAAATCCCTGAAAGAAAGTTAGAGTGCTGAGCTGAGCTGTTTACTCTTGTTTAAATATATTGATATTCAGGTTTTAGACCTGACAAGAGATATTACAGATATTAAGATATTACAACTGCAGAAAGCATATTGCAGATTACACACCAATTCCTTATTCTAGCTGTTATGTGTAATCTGCTTCATCTTGTACATGTGAAGAAGAACTAGGGTCTAATGGAGCACCTGTGTACTCACTACACAGCTGGCAACTAGCAAGTCAATGTATGAACTGTCATTATTTTAAATAAACTAGCAAGGTCTAATGAGCACAGAGTTATTTCTAATTGGTTTAGTGCTCATAAAAGGAATTACAAAATTATCAATAAGCCATGTATCCTGGTGAAGGTTAAGAGACGCACAACTGCTCTTCCCCCAGACAGGAAGCCCATCTATCATAGGGCCATAGAAAAAGGGACAGTTTAGAAACAGACAATCAAACCTACCCAGCATGTCTTGGGATGGAGAAAGATAAGCCAAGCTCTCAATAAAAATGTATGGAAACAGAGGTAGAACAAAGTCACACAGATGCCTATAGGTATTTGTTTATTATTTTAGTCAAGATTTTAACCAAAACAAAACA